GGCTGAGGACCTGCCTGCCCATGGGCAGCAGTGAATGAATTCCTTGTGCGTGCAGCTTCTGCTTTACCTGTTCAACCATCTTGATCTCAACCCATGAGTTTTCTCACTTCTACCCTTCCGATTCTCTCACCCATCCTGTCATGGGGGGAGTGAGCAAGCGGCTGTGTAGTGCTCAGTTGCCACCTGGGGTTAAACCATGACAAACTGATCCACAAATTCTCTCAACTAGGGAGCGCTGTCTGGGTTCAAATAGTTTAGGCAGATATAGAAGCCTAACTAAAGATTAAATCATAACATACAGATGAAACTATATACCCATTCAACTTCTAAGAATCTTAAGACTACAGCAGCTTCCATTTTCTGCCTATAAAGTTTGGGAAGGAAAAAAAAAAAATAGCCCAAGCACTTCATTCAAATTTGAATGCTGTTTTGAACAGTATTTTAGTTTGCCTGGAAGAATGCCAAAGTTGTGGCCAGGAATTCAGAGTTGAGCAAACCAGGAGTCTGGTTAATACCATCTACATGAGATGAAAGTATGTTAGACAACAGAATGGCCCATCTCATCCCAACTCTGACACTTCAAGGGGTCAGAACACCAGTTCTAGGAGCATCATAAATACCGACAGTAAGCCATAAGAACTAATGTATACCCCCAGTTCATTCAGCATACTACATACATGTCTGTGTATGTCCAGCTGCAGTGATGTAATAGGAATTTTTGAGATATGCCAAAACAAACGATTTAAATTCTACCCCTTCTCCTGTGCTCTTTTAGCTACCAGGGTTTTATCATGTACAACAGCATCCGGTCTCTGAGGATAAGGCTATTTGGCAAGAAGTGATTAGACCACACGAAGCTACAGAATAATCCCAATGTTCCCAGTAACATCAGTGTAATAAATTAAGTTGCCAGTTTCCTTCCTTCTGCTTTCAAAATAACCAGCACCTCAGCTAATGCTGATGCAAGACGAAAATCACATTTTTTCACATGGTGAAAAATATCAACATAAGATCAATTTGTGCCTTTATTACAAACACTATTTTACAGTTACATAGACGTATCTGACAACCACAAATAAATTTAGGATTAAATTGTCAATAAAAGGAGGAACAGGGTCTGTACAACTACAGAAAGTCTGTAGTAACAGCTGGTAATAATAGGATTGTCAAAACTGGGAGAATACTGACCACATCCCATTTCAAAGGGCCATTTCGTTCCTCCCACCTAGAATCAGCAAAATAGAGAGACTCAAATCCAAACACAACCCCCACATACCTCTCCTCCGTTAACAAAATCCAGGACAAAGTAAAGCTTTTCTGTTGTTTGGAAAGAGTAATGTAATCCAACCAAAAACGGATGTTTCACATTTTTCAAAAGCACATTACGCTCAGCCATAATATGTTTTTGCTGTAAGGAAGTAAAAGATTGATAAGTAAACAGGAATGATTTTGCAGTTGAGGGAAAAAGGAAGGGAGGTGGGTGGAGGAAGAACATCTCTTCACCTCTTTCCTATTAAGAACTATTTTTTTCTGCAGCACTTTGACAGCATAGTATTTCCCATCCAGTTTTCGTTTTGCAAGAAGAACCTGTGAAATTCAAACCAAACGGAGTGTGGTTGTTGCAGTTCACATTCTATTAGTAACTTTTTCATCATTTCAGCATAATTGAAAAGTATTCATGCTATTTTTTTCCATCATAAAGTTTCTTTGCTTTTAATACAGTCAGTCAGCAATATAGTCACCAATAGAGTGAGCTTAAAAAAAAAAATCACAGTAAAATCTGTCTTGATAGTGGTATCATGAAAAACTGAATTCTAACATTTGTTTTCCAGGACCTGATGAATCTCTGTCAAGATCAATTTCAGCTGGTTTTTGTACCTTTTAAAGATAATCTAATCGAAAACAACCACCTGAAAAATAACCCAAACCCAAAAGATTTCAACAGGGATTCTCTGATTTCTCATCCTTGTAGAAATCATTACTTAAGTCACTTTTCAATGGGCTGTTGGCTCACACTGCTCTATAACATCAGGGGTTTGACAACACAGTCCATGCCAAAGGGAAATGCACGGTTCGTGCTCCAGTTGCTGCATCAGCACAGGGGTACCTCCCTTCCTCTCTGGGGGAAACAGAGGATCCCTATTGCTCTTAACGAGAAGGGGAAAACGCTCCCTTTTGTTAGTCCCCACAAGTGACCGAGGCAGCCAACTGCCACGCCAGGGGAAAAATGGCAGGGCTGTAAAGAAGCAGCAACAGGGATCCAATATGACAGTTTATGTGCCACCCTAGACTGACACCACTTCCAAAACCTCTGGCTATGTCAAGCTAACAGCCACTATGCACAAGACACTGGCTATCCTCCTTGGATCAGGATAAGACACAGTAAGATGAAAACTCACCTTGCCAAAGCTGCCTTTCCCAATAACTTTCAGGAAATCAAAGTCTGTTGGTTTAGCACTGAAAGATATTTCGGAAGGAGACAGGTCATCTGGGTAGAAATGACAAGCTTTACTGTACAAGCACAGCAGCCTAGTGTAGCACTTGAGTTGTCATGTGAGTAGAACAGTCTATTAGCACCCTCCTTTATCCTTCATTCTACCCAACACCTAGGCATCTGCAGACCTTCCCTCAGAGATGACTCCTCTTCATTTTGAAAGTCTGTTTTCCTCCAAGGAAAGTGTTCAAGTTGCATCCTTGAGTTTATTTTATAATTTTAAGAAGCAAAAGGAGGACCAAGACTGTTCTTTTATTCTCCATAGTCTAGTTTCTTGTAATTTTTAGTCTCCATTTCCCCCTGACTTTTCCTGTAGCTTATTTCTCATTTCCAGAGGGCCAAATGGATTCTCAAGCTTACGTGAGGGAAGGAAGGCCCAAGTTTGTTATCAATTCTCCCTTTGCTTATCCCATCCATTCCTCTCTCATTTTAAAATACACGGAGAGGAGGGAGGCCCTAACACCTTCCTCTTCTGTGTGTACATATGAACTCGCTCTCATTTTTACCACTTCCCACATAACCACTCCTTTCAGTTATTTCCCAGGAATCCCTCACTTTTTCCTAAATACAATGCAGGGATATTTTTGTCAGCAAAACAATTATCCATGTTTTCAAATTCCAAAATAACAGTTACATCACCACACACCTCTCCACTTATCGCCCCTGAAGGGAAGTACTCTTAAATTTTATTTCTTACAGCAATCTATTAAGCATTTCCTCCTGTTAGCCCAGAACAAATCTGTGAGGAAAGCAAAACCAAAATAGCAGTCACCTCCTAGATGGGAGAAGCAGATTCCCACAGAACTGAGAACAGAAACTACAGAAGGCACCAGAGAAGACACCAAGTTAGGACTGCAGTAACTAGGTCTGTAGAATCAACCAGGCAAGATGCTCCCTTCCCATGCAGTTAAACAAACTTGTTTCCAAACACTGTTCACATTCTTAACACTTGTGTGACCATTCCCGAGAGAGAGGTCACGTATGCTACAGCATCCTCAAGTAAAAGGATAGCAGACTAACAACATCTGAGGGTGAAAAGGGAAAAAGGTTTTAAAAGTGGTTGTTTATGTAGCACAGGATTTGGTGTTTTGCTTCCTCCACAGCAGTGCAAATCAACAAATAAAGGCATATATCCAAACAACTTTTCATACTATTACCAATTACACTTTGTCTCATTTTTCAAGTTTTAAAATGAATATTAATAAAATTTAATTAATAAAAAATTGTTACATTAAATTTAATTACATTTTAATTCAATTTAACTGAAACCTACTGAGGATTTCCAGACGGTCCCAAGTTGATATTCTGTGAGGTAGAGTTTAACTGTTGGGAGAGACAACAAGGTTTATTTTTAAATTTTCTTTCATGCTCTCTTATATTTCAACCAATATTAATTTCATAATACTCTACTAATTTGCTCAATCCATACTTTCACTTTTATTACATTAGATTTTTAAACAGATCTAGCAACCAGATTGGGGACTTCATAAATTGAAATATCTGGCCATCATCACCTTGTCACAAATTATTTCCACACACATCATAGTCAAGGATGAAGGTAATAAAATAATTGTGTCCAGATACAGAGGCCAAGATTAGTTACAAAACTAACAGCTTTTCAAACAACTTCTTCCTCATCCACAATGAAACCTCTTCAGTACTTGCTTTAGAAACATATTTTCTACCTTTTATTCTAAATTTTCCCAAGATCTTACCAACAAAATTTTAAACTCACACTGTTTAGGCAAGAGTAATTAGTGAAAGACACAGTGCTTTTTTAAAAACAAAAAAAAACCCCACCAAAACCAAAAAACAACCACAAAAGTGAACGTTCTCCCCACCCCAAGAAAAACATTACCAACCTTTTCTATCCTGACATTAAAGGTTAACTAACTCAATTCCAGGAATGGCATGAACCTTACCAGCACACACCCAGGCAGAGTTTGTAATTACAGGGAGAGGAGGAAACCACTGTCATTTAGGTAATTTTCTCCATTTTGTTTTTGATTTAAAAAGCAGTATTGTGGTTTTGGACTTCATCAGAGAAGGATTCAACTGCATTCACATACAAGTTACCTGGGGACAGGCTAGCAGGCATCACAAAACCAGTACTCCTACAGAAGCAGAGAATGCCCCAACAGCAGCACTGGATGCTACTGTTCACTAATAAAAGCCAACCACACAATAGTACTGGACAGTTTTAAAAAGCTACTTTATAAGTTTAAAGATTTTTCTTTTTCTTGAGGGCTTGTTTTTATACCTTATTCTTCAGCTTCATCACTTACACTAATGATGGAGAAGGTGAATTTTCTATGAAAAAGAATGGTCCAGACTACTATGAATTAGCTCACTTCCTATTTTTGAATTTGTTGTGGCATGACATAAAATTAATTTTCCACAGAAGGTTTTGGTCACTCTACATTACTTAAAATAACTCTCAAAGGAGGAAGACACTGGTATTTTAAATTAGAATTTTGCTGCATGCTCACAGTGCTGTCCAGCACTTAAAAAAAAAAAAAGCAGCAAGAACTGGCATCTTTGGAAATTAAACCTTCAGGAAACACTAAGTCTGCTGTGTATCACACACAAACCAAAATGACAACTCTTACATCTTTAACAGGAGATGAGTAAGAAGGGAAGTGCTATGATCACATCTGTATGCCAAGAAGTAAGCCTAAATAGGGCACTTCTGCCTTCCTGGAAACACTACAGCACTGTTTCTAGAGGCTGTAAATTAATTTTCAGAGCAACCATCTAGTTATGTACTGGCTTTTGAGACAAAAGAGGCTTCAGACCTCACACAGGGTTATATGTGAAATGAAATCAAATCCATCCTTGCTCCCGAGCGACTTTTTGAAAGATGGCATTTTTCCTCCCCTGAAAGAATCGTATTTCTCCCCCTATTTAAAAAAACCAACACACAAGCAAGCAAAAAGACAATGAAACATTGTCTCCCCTGCTCCTTGCCAGATGTTCTTAGCAAGAATCTTTGAAGAGATTGCAGAAACTGTGACAGCTAAGCTGTGACTAAAGCTGTGTTTTGTTAACCCATACAGCAAGTCGGGAAGCAGCAAGACAAAGGTAGCAATCCCTTTTACCCCTTCTCTGCAGTTCACATCTGACAGAATACCATCTTAGAGCCCACGTGGAACACGTCTGTTTAAAAGAGCAAGGAGGGGATTTATTGCAAAACCAACCAGTAATTTTCAGTAAATAATATACCTAAGATTGCCCTCAAGTACCTAAAGTTTAGAAGACACTTCTTCTGTTTTATTACCTTCCGACTGGTCCTTTCATCTTCATCTTCAGATGGATCCAACTGGTGTTTTGGGTTATCCATCTGAAGAAATGCTCTGACATCCGGGCTAGAAACACAGTTAACTTAATTAGCAGAGTGATAATCTGCATGATTTTCAGCCATTATATAGGAAGCATAGGATTAAACAGCAGCATACAGAGCAGTTGCTCATCACGAAGTTTTGTATTTAAATTCTTGTAATTAAGGACTGTGTACAAGAGATGCTTTTATTTCAATGTGTTAACATACAATATAAAGTTTTCCACTTTCAAAAAACTGACATGTTAATGTATGTGAAGACTTCAGAAGGAAATGCGCTGCAGAACTGCATTAAAAAGTAATTATTAGAGTAATGAACACTATCCAAAGCATGAGTTATAGCTGGCTAGCAACCACCAGGAAACCAACTTTCTTAAAAAAAAAAAAGTTAAAAACCATTTTTAGTTTTCTGAAATTAAGGAAATGGTCCAATGCAACACAGAATGAGATATATAGTCGGTATCCCTAAGACAGATGCATGGCCTAAGAGGTACATGGCAGTAACCATTCACTTTAAAGCAGAAGATGGTGATTTTGTATTGAGTGCATTCTTGCTGGGCACTGACAAGACACCCTAAGAAATCCTTCCAGTCAGCTCCAGGACACAAACGCTGTCCTTCAGGAACCAGCAAGAGAGGCTACATGCTTCCCACACTACCTAAGGAGATGCATCTTAGCTTCACCATTGGTTTCTGGCTTGTCTTATCATAGAATCATAGAATG